TGCGTGACGTCAGCAGGCACACTGCGTGACGCTGCCGCATGCGGGTGACATCACAGATGTGACATCACAGATGTGACATCACAGATGTGACATCACAGATGTGACATCACAGATGTGACATCACAGATGTGACATCACAGATGTGACATCACAGATGTGACATCACAGATGTGACATCACAGATGTGACGTCACCGCTCACTTGCCGTGCAAAATATATCCATTATTGCGCCCTCCCCCCCTCCCCCAAAATACAAAAGCCAATTTTTATACTTTTTGCATTGTGTACAGTCTGGAAGCTACCCACATGCCAAATTTCAAGTTTATTGCGTGTCGGGAAGTATGCTAAACATTTCTAACAGACACACATATTCACAAATTTCCCTTTTATATATATCGATAATTTGGGGCGGAATATAACCAAATTGTTATGATGCAAGCATAGCACTTTTCATGGATATTCGCATTAAGTTAATTTAATTGAACAAAAACCTCCGTGATCCACACTGCTATTTTGTGGGAAAGTCAACAGTAGTTGTCCAACGGATATACTTGTCCCTGTCATAGGAATAGGGAATTTTCATCGCCAAATCAGCTCTATATATGGGGGATAAACACTGCTTCTCAATACTAAATAGAGCAAGGAGGATTTCTGCACGAATCTGGCTGTCGCCTAATGAAGCTAGTTGTAATTACTGGCCAAACGTCGTACTCAGATTGTTAATGTTTTGCTCTCCAACACACCGGTGTGCTGTACGAGTGACGAATTGGCACCTTCTGTTTTTGTTACAAACTTTTCTAATTGGTTGGGTTGGGTGGTGGCGGATTTAACAACACATTTATATATTTACGCGATCTAACCCCCCCAAAAAAAGAACCTGTATTAGGCAGGAAATCGCTTCGACTTTTGCTAAACCAATTCTGGAAAGTAACTATCAAACACATTCCTGCGGAGGGAGCTGGTAGCAACGTTGGGTTGCTCGGTCAATGGCCAGGGTCAACGGCGGCGTGGTGTATTCCGCAAATATGCCCGACTGTGAGGGCGGGCACAAGCCGGCGTGAGTAGGTTACACGTTGAGTTTTATAAGGGCACCACGGGGTGACCAGCCCCTCCCCACCCAGCCCCTCCCCACCCTCCCCACCCAGCCCCTCCCCACCCTCCCCTCCCCACCCAGCCCCTCCCGCCCCGCCCGGCCCCTCCCTGCACGACGGACGGACGGACACAATAATGATGACGTCACCCTGCTGCTGCTCTATATAAGAACGGGAGACACAGGAGAACCTCACCATTCTGGCGAATTGCCCGATGATGCTGGTTGCAATTACCAGCGAAACGTCGTACTCAAATTGTAAATGTTGTGGCTTCAACACACCGGTGGGCTAAAGCAGTGAACTATTTGTCTTTGTCAACGTGACACTTTTTTACTGATTGGCCGTGTCGGGTGGTGGAGGGTTACGACACATTTATAAATAAACGCGATCTAAACCCAAAAACGTTGATTATGAATAACATTGGTCGCGAAAGCCTACGTGTTAAATCCCCTGTGGGCTGGTGTAACCAGGAGGTTCCTACCAGTAGTATTGATTTTTTTACTGGAATTCGTGCAGGCTTGTCCAACTTTACTGTACTCCCGATTGTCACATTCTGTGCCGCAGCATGCGCACCCATCTGCCTCGTGTCTATGACGCGCGTGCCCGAGAACAAATCTCCGTGATCTACGCCGTACCAACCGGTACTATGTGTGAGTGCGTTCATAAATAGACAAAAACACTCTCTTGAGGTATCGTAGATCGCAAGCCAGGGGAGAAAAGATGTCCTAGACGTTAGGGGCATCGCGATTCACCGCCTCTCACCCCCCCCCCCGCTCCAACAACCCTTGGCAATGATGAATTTTCACAATTCGGGGTCACGATTCAATTAAACTCTTTTTTCTTTATGATTTTAACCGTCTTGTTTGTATCATATCCTTGTTTTCTCTCTTGACTACAATATTTTGATTATCCCATTTTGAACAAAATAGAAAATGTCATGCGATTTGTGCATCACGTGCATTTCAAGATCCGATCGCACTTAGTAGACGCTCTGCAAGTCGGAATTGTGGTTTTGTATTTTGTAATTGTATGGTCCGTCGATGTGTCGACGTTCAGAAGTCCGTGAACGTGCTTACAACAACAAACACAAGAGGATCAGTGGTGTGCAGTGTGGGAATGGAGTGGGCCCTCTGTCGAATTCCCACCTCTTCGTGCCCCAACACGCGGGCCCCCTCCAGCCCATGGACCCATAGTCCATTCGCGGCACCTGCATTCTCATTTGCTGTACCCCCCACGAATTAATTTCATACTCGAGATTTTTTTCCGGGTTACCAGGGAGACTCGAATCTTTTGGGAGTTTGCATGTTCTCTCTCTCTCCCCGTGGCCACGTGGATTTTTCTCCGGGTCCTCCGGGTTTTTCCCCTCCAAGTTGAGGATCAACATCACGTGTCGAAGAGCATTTGGCTGCTATAAATTCCCACGCGATCGTAAGCCACTTCGTCGACTCATCATTTGTGATATCCAGGTCGCGTCTGAAAAAAAGAGCGACATAGCTCGATGGGACCTCACCTGATGAAATAAAAATAGTTGAGCTTAGTCTCGGCAAACCTGAAAGTCGGCGCCTTTGATTGCCGCCGCGCACCTGGGTGAGACGCGGCGTCTTGGGCAGCGCGGGGTAGGGGGGGGGGGTAGCCGAGCTCGGAGCTTGTTGTGGGGGGGGGGGGGGAGATACTCTTCTCACGGTGGCTCGCAGCAGCAAAATTCTCCCCCTCCCACCCCCGCGGCCACACGTTGGCGGCGATCACCCTCCCTAACTGTGCGTTTTGCAGGCGAAATGAAAGAGCGACGAATTTGCTCATTGAGCAGCACTCTCCTTTGAGTGTCATGTCGGGAGCGGACGAGCCTTTACGGCATTGGAGCGGATGTACGATTCATGTTGTTTGCTCATGAAAACATTGCATACGATTTGCAAAAATGAATTTAAAAAATAGTTTTTTTACACGTTATTTGATCGATTTAATCGCGAAACGGTACTATCAATTTAGATGTATCAATTGTTCACACGTCTACAGCCGAAACGTAAATTAAACCCCAAGGGACGGAGCGTGTGGATTATTACGTTCAGGATTGTGAAAGTCGGTGATGGCTTGTGGTAGGGGAAATGGGGGTTCATTCAGCAGTGGATTGACCATGACTGATTATGTTGATGATGGTAAAAAGCCCACTCTGTGTGTAAACTAAACCTGCCACGGTAGCCATTTGACATACGTTAGCCGAAGCTGATGTATGTGTTTGTATATTTAAAGCCACGGTTTCAATTGGCCTTGCAAAAATCTTCAGTGACAAGGGAAGGGCACATGGGAATGATAAAAATCCAGAGAAGGGAACACGGTATCCTAATTAACGGAGTAAGGAGCTTCTCTGAATGTGTGATTTCCTGGTGGATATAACTGGCAAAGATAAATGTGTTTGGGTTAGGGGGGCCCACTTGGATTGTTCACGAAAATACAATCTGATGATTAATTGCTATAATTAATTGGGACAGTCCTGCATTTGAATGATTGGACAATTCATTTTTTATGAGCGTGTTGTGGGAGGAAACGGGAATGCCCAGAGAAATCCCCGGCACATTTGAGTGAACATCACTTTGAGGTCCTCAAAGACAAATAACAAACCCACTTTTGCTGTTACTCTGCTCTCTGCAGGACACTTTGAAGACCAATGAGTTATGTAGTTCTTAAAATGCTGCATGCGATCCATGCAGCTAACCTATTCTCCGAAGTGCTGGCTCGTATACCACCACACCCTAATTAACAGCATAATTAATGATCTGACGGTCAAACTGGGGCAGTGACTCAGTGGTTAGCACACTGCATTGTGAACCTGGCTGCCCAGCCATTTGATTTCCGGCCATGGCTAACATTAGTGGGAAGTAATATTTCGACCAGATTTGGGCCTACTTCACTTCGCCAATCCCCTCGTGTGTATGCTTTCTGCGTGTACGAGCGCGGCCCGCCTGTCCGGGTTTGTCCCGGACAATCCAGGAATTGCCATTTGTGTTTTATGGTGCTAGGAATCATATTTCGTACCGAAATCTGGAAAAAAAATGCTTACCGAGATCTGTAAATCACTCGTACCCAGATAAACCTGAGTTGACTGAGAAATATGCCTTAGTTTAAAATGTGCCAACCCTGCCCGGTTACTCGGGTTTCCAACCACGTGCCAAACACTCGCACGCGGATTTCCCCAAACATCTCAATGCAGGACCGAGTCCTGAGGCTCGGTGAGACTTCTGTGAATGAACAGACGGAATTTTTACCTCCTGAAGTGCTGGCGTGATCACGGTGCTCTACACACAATTGACCGCTGTCACTGATACCCTAGCTCCTGTCCAGGGTATTTAATCCAGCGGTCCCCAAACTTTTTGGCACCAGGGACCGGTTTCGTGGAAGACAATTTTTTCACGGACCGGGAGGGGGGTGGGTTGGTTCATCATTGGGTCTTTCCCCCTTTTCAAAGAAGCTCAATGTGTGACGCTTGCGTCGGCAGCGGTGCACAAGCACGAAATAACAAACAAAAATAATAACAAAAATAACACGAACTCCCAAAGAGGGAAAAAACTTACATAACAGGCGACCATTTTTTGGGAAAATGTCCAAAGCCGAGATAGGACAGAGCGATTGAGTGAATAACGGATTGAGGATGCACTCTAGACCATGATAAAATATCCTAACGTTGGCATTTAAACAGTCGCCCGTTAGCAGATGCTGAGTTACAGACAAACCATCCAAAAGTCACCAGTCTTTGCGCCACAATCCATGTCCCTCGTCGCACGTTCTCCGAGCCCACACGACATCTGCACGTTCTGTGCCCATTCTCTCTCCTTCTCCTCCGCTGCTTCCCCCACCTCCTCCACTCCCCCTCATCATCATCCTCCTCCTAACGTGAGCGTTCCCTCTCCGCCGCAGGGACAATGAGACCGGTGCGACGGAGCTTCTACGATCCCTCGGCGGCCCCGGGCCGCGGCGTCGTGTGGGAGTGGGAGAGCGAGGGTGGCGTGTGGACCCCGTACCCCATGGACGTGTGCGTCACCATCCAGAACGCGCACGAGAAGCAGCACCCGTGGCTCGACCTGGCCACGCTGGGGCTGCCAATCCTGCTCGACTTCACGGCCATGTGCCAGATCGGGCGGCTCGGCCAGACGCGCCGCCGCGTCCGACGGCGCCTCGACACGCCGTACCCGCTGCTCGTCATCAACAGCGGCGGCGGCAGCCTGGCCGCGGGGCCTCTCGCCCTGCCCAAGTCGCAGTCGTGGCCCGTCGGAGCCGGACAGGCCTCCGGCGGCCAGGGACACCACGGCGGCCAGCATCAGCAGATGCATCAGCAGCAAATCCAGCAGCAGCAGCAACAGCAACAGCAGCAGATGTCGCTGCTATGCGCGTGTCCTCAGTGTTTGCACCAGCAGCAGCAGCAGCAGAGCCACCACCACCACCAGAATGTGCAGGGACATGCCCAGCAGCAGCAGCAGCAGCAAAACATGCTGGGTGTCACCGCCTACGGGACGGTGACTCAGCGGCCCGCTCTGTCCACCAACAACCTGGCCTCTACGGCCACGGCTGGCAACGTCACGCATCATCAGCAGCAGCAGATGCAAATGCAGCAGGCAATGTCCCAGCAGCAGCAGCAACAGCAGAGGAGACGCGAGACATTCAGCTCGCCGACGAGGCAGACACAGGTGAGGAATGCCGCGACATCGCGTGATGCCAGCCGGTTTCCCCGACGCAAGCGCAGCGGCTTTGTGATGATTCCGGAGTTTTTTGTCAGCAGGTCCCCCCACCCCCCCCCCCCCCCCCCGGTCTGGTTTGTTCTCTGTTTTTTTGCCACCTGCCGTTATTCATCTGGTGTACGGCTTTCCCTGCCGATCCGACGATTTTTTGGCTCTTCGCCAAAAGCCGGAATCACATTTGTCCCGACAAGGAAAGTTAATATCAAAGCGGACGAATAAAAAATGGTCTGCAAAATAATGACTGTGTTGCACTTTCAAAAATTTTTTTTTACGTAACCAATGATGTCAATGTTTTCTAAAAGGTTATTCGTAGAGCAAATGTTTTTTTAAACATGCTCCACGCCATTTAGATTCACAAGATTTATGCTCGGACTTAAATGAAAATCTTAACGTGGATAACAATTACAGGAATACTAATAATAATAGTTTTCAACCCTTTTTTTGTAAATCCGCTGCCGGATGAAGGCCTTCGGATTGTGCGGCCCATGTGGCCGTACTTCACCACGTTGGTGAGTACAGCTTGGTGGAAAGCTGTACTTGGCACTGGTTAAAGATATCGGTCGTCAATCTTAATTTGAAGCTTTCGTGACTGCAGGAATCTATACTCTTTGGTTCTTTCGGTAAAGTCACGTGGGTAGAAATAAAATAAAATAAAACAAATCACGACGTTTCGATCGCAGCACAAGCGGTCGTCATCAGGCAACACAAAAACGTCGTGATTTGTTTTATTTATTTATTTCTATTTCTAACTAGGTGACTTTACCGACAGAACCAAAGAGTATATCGGTCACCACTGAGGGTTCGGAGGTGCTCGCCGAATCGAACTGATATCACACCGGGGTCGTCACGCAGCGTGCTAACCACCGCGGCACTGCCTCCACCTGCAACGCTTGCGAAGACAAAAAAAAGTGACTTTGTGGCGTCCCCAAACCAAATCGTGGCACCCACTTCAGATCCTACCCACAGTACCCGGTGCGGTGCTTTCATAGCTTTATTTTGGTGATTTCGAAAAGTGTATTGGTTTAGCCATGTTTGTTTGTTGTAGTACAGAGTTAGACTGATGGCCTTAATCTAAGTTGTCTTGTGGTTGTTGTTGTTGTTGTTTGACTTGCATCCCACTGGGATTTTTGCACACAGTGTTGGTGTACGGTGCTTTTTCTGCAATATTTTGCTGTCTTTTCTTGGATTTTCTGTTTGCACTTAGTCACATATTCACTTTAAGATGTTTTTTCTTCATGTTTTTGTTTTTTGTTTGTTGCGGATGCACCCGATTCAAGAGCCGAATGGCTCACAGGGCTATACCTAATAAATGAACTTGAAACTTGAACGTGGCATTGGCCACCCACCCCTCCTCGTGTACCGTGCCGGCCTCCCTCGTGCTCGCTGAACAGCACTTGCCCCGACAGTCTGTTAAGGCTCTACGGGGGTGGGGGGGGGATCTTTGTTTCGTGTGTTTCAGGGGCAGGCCAGGTCAGGCTTGACCGTGAGCAGACCACGGTCACAGCCCGCTCTGCAGGCCATCGCCGCGGGATACACGCCGGCCAATCGCGGCCTGGGGATGCCGGCTATCGCCATGGCCACCTCCGTGTCTGCCCCGAACAACCTCAACCGGCCCGGCGTGAAGCAGCAGAGGAGCGTGGTGGGCTTCACGGGCTCGGCGCGCCCACCAGGGTGGGTGGCAAGCCGCCACGCGTGTCCGCCTGCTTGCCTGCGCATGTGGGTGTCCGCGCCCCTGGCTCCTTCCCGTCCGTCCGCCCGTTTGTCTGACAAGTCACTCTTGCGTCACGCGTCGCTGTTGTCATTGTTGTTGTTTCATTCGTCGGTTGTCAGCCACCCGTTCGTTTTGACTTGAAACTTTTGCGGCTGCAGGAATTCGTACTCGTGGTTCTTTCGGTAAAGTCACGTAGATAGAAAATGAAATAAGAATAACAGATAATGAAATGAAATAACTAAATTTCTAAATAATAAATTGAAAATAATTAAAGCAAAAAAACGCACGGCGTTTCGATCGCAACACAAGCGGCCTTTTATTTTATTATCTGTTATTTTTATTTTATTTTCTATCTACGTGACTTTACCGAAAGAATTTAAGAATATGAGCACCTGTTCATGTTTATCCGTGGATCGTCATCAGGCCTCAACCAAGCCACTTATCATCAGGCCTCAACCAAGCCACTTATCACAATCCCACCATGTGTATCAATCCGCCCAGCATCCGCAGACGAACTCATTTTACCATCGATCCATCTCTCGGATGCGTTCCATTCCTCGGTTGGATATCTATTTGGTTAATAGGATCAGAATATTTGTTTATACCGGAGGAATCCGATACGCTACATAGCTCTCTTTCACAGATATCCAATAGTTCCACCTATAGCGACTGCCCCCCATCCCTTTACTGCTCCTATTATTGAGGTGGATAAGAGGAGTTTGTGAACATTTTTTTATTCCTGCCATCACGGTAATAACCTTCAGATCTATCTCGCAACCTCTTGCTTTTTTTTCTGTATACCGTACACCACGCACACGGCACGGGAATGACACTCGATGACGCATTACGCCCACTCATTCCGTGGTTTATCAAGAAAAATGAACAATTCAATGTTTGTATCGACACTCGAGCAATTACGCGTTCACGGCACAGCACAGTCGCCCGATGTCACCGGCGCATTTCGTTGCAGTCACGATGCCCTGGGCTCAAGGTCTCCGTGTTACCGTCTACCAAAAGACTCTTTGCAGAGGGATATCGATTTGCTGCCGTGGGCAAGGCTTGGGATTTCTTTCCCTGTAGTCGGTTACTTTATTGGCCCCCCTTGAAAGTCGCAAAAGTCAGAGATATCTGACCACATTTCCTGAAGGTCTATCACCTAAAGTGTCGGCGAGAGCGGCTCGTAAAATGTTCCCTCGGTGATTGAGTACTCACTCGTACTGTGCGGCGCGCAAATGATTGCGCATCTAATGCACGTTTGGTCTTAAATATAACCTGTTAGTGGCAGGAACCTTTCATGTGTAGCAAATGGCCTGCCTTATTTAACAGAATTAGTGAAGCTGTAATGGATGGGGTTTTATTTTTATTTTCAATTGGGCTATATTTTAAAAGAAATAGCAAAAATGACTGACATGTATTTTTACGCGAGTTTGCCGGAGAACACCTCCCAGGCTGCTCCACCGGTTTTCAGTTAATGAGTGATCGATATGCAGTAGGTGTGTGCGCGCGACCAGATTTGTGTAATTTAACTATGCACCAGCGACAGACAAAGGTCGCCAGTACAGCCTTAACAGACTGTTGGGGCAAGTGCTGTTAGTGAGCACCTATGAAGGCCGGCACGGCACATGAGGGGGTGGGTGGCCAGCACCACGCCCGGCCGCCTTTGCCTCCCTTGTGGCGATGTTTACACACTGCACTAGGTACTCATTTGAGGCCGAGTTAAACTAGGGGGGGCCCAAGGCCGGTTCAGCAAATCGTCGCTGGTGTTGGACATGAGCGGGAATCCAACTCTGGTTGCCAGGTTCATTGCGCAACGTGCTAACCACTGCCATTACCCCCCCCCCCCATACACACGTGCACATGCATGTGTACGAAAGAACGTGTGCTGAGATGGCAGTTTCCAGTACAGGAACGGATTCTTGAATCCATCTGTGTGGAGCTTTGAGTGTTACCCTCTCGCGTGCATAGTGTGTTTTCTCTCTGGGTGCCGTCGCATATTACAAACCCAAAAAAAAGTTACGAATCGAATTAACCAAACAACCCAATGCAAAACCCTCCTGACAATGTCTTGGCTCAGTGAGGCTTTCATCGCTAAAAACCTCCAATTATTATTCAACGTCAGCCTTTCCACTCAGTCCTTCACAGTGCTGTGATGCAAGGCATATATATAGGACATTACATTATTATTATACTTGCACTGATGCTGTCATGGTGTAATGGTTAGCACACTGGATTTGCAATGCAGAGGTCAACGGTTCAATTCAATCTACTGGGGCAGCAGTTGAAGCAATGGCACAAGCCCAGCAGTATAACTGGCGACACGAAAGTCGATCAGCGGGTTGAGTGTGGTGGCGAGGGGTATGAGCGTGAGTTCTTCCACCTCTTCGAAGACGTATCTTACGGTGCCACAGCGGCGAGATGTTAACTACCTCGTCTGGTTTACAGGAGGTCGTGGATTCGATCCCGATCCTGACGCCTGCTGCTGCTGTATATTTGAAGTTTGCATATTCTCGCCGTGGCCACGTGGATTTTATCCGGGTCCTCCGCCCCCCCCCCCCCCCCCACACACTTAGAATTGTGCGTTGAGAGTATTTGGCTGCTATAAATTCTCACATGATAGGTTACTTCGTTGAGCTATCATTTGTGGCCAGGTCGCTTCGGAAAAAGAGCTATAGAGCTCAGTGGGCCTAACCTGGTAAAATGAAAATAAAAGTTTAGTTTAGTATGTCTGGCCAGCAGGAAGAGTAGACCAAATGCCCTCTAGACTTTAGAGGGACTGTTTAAACATCTTAATTTTTAAGCTTTCGTGACTGCAGGAATTATTATTTGGTTCTTTCGGTAAAGTGACGTATAAAGATAAAATAATAAATTAAATAATAGCATACGACGTTTCGATTGCAACACAAGCAATCATCATCAGGTATAAATGAAATAGCCACAAAAAATCTAACCATAAAACTATAGACAGACATATAAGCAGACAGATATCACCAAGATACATAGAGAGAGTAACACAGGTACAGAGAGGGGGGTCGTCTCTGTGGGGTGTCTCTGTGGGGTGTCTATTTAAGGCCACCCCACAGAGACGATCCCCATCTCTGTACCTGTGTTGCTCTCTCTATGTATCTTGGTGATATCTGTCTGCTTATATGTCTGTCTATAGTTTTATGGTTAGATTTTTTGTGGCTATTTCATTTATACCTGATGATGATTGCTTGTGTTGCAATCGAAACGTCGTATGCTATTATTTAATTTATTAATTTATCTTTATACGTGACTTTACCGAAAGAACCAAAGAATAAATGTTTAAACATCCTCTAGCGGAGGCCCTTCTGTTGGCGGTGGCGTGGGCAAGCAATTGTAGGGGCTGTGCATTAACCTCTTTTGGTTGTACGTGACACAGCTCCGTTAGCAGCTGGTTCACGCCAGACTCCTTGAGCAAATGCAGCAGTGAAGACAACAACACCCCTGAGGCATTGTGAGGGTGGCTTAATGGGGAACTGGAGGAAACTGATAAAATATTGCCTGTGGCAGATAGCGAGAACACTGGAGAAATGTGGGCGCGTTGGAAATTAGCCAACAATAAGCCTGCAAGATTTTTGCAATCGGACTTAGTGCACTACAACCTTGGATTGCTATCTTGGGTTAGACACACGCAGTTTGCTGGCCTAAAATAGATGACATATTTTCGAGCCGATGACAATTCCACACGCTGGATTTTTGTTGTTTTTACGTGTGCCAGCAAAGAGAGCATCTTAGATCTACAGATGATATTGTGGCAGTTCACATCCGCTGATGGAATTCCTTTCCAGCTCAGACCCCGCTTGCTTTCCCATCGCCACGTAAATAACCTCTTGGTGTAACGGCTCTCTCGCTGGTTCAGCAGTTCCACTGCTGGATTATCAACATTTTCCGCCTGAGGACGATCGCTTGTGTTGCAATCGAAACGTCGTGATCTATTATTTTTTGTTTCATTTTATTTTTCTAACCAACGTGACTTTCAAATCAACATTGAGGGAGGGGTGGTTTTTTTTATTACTTTCCCAAATTACGTTACGTCATTTCTATCGCTGTCGTTTCGTGAGAAGCAATCGCGATTACGTCACGTTACTACTTCTTTGGAACTCTGCGGCTAGCAGTGCATCGCTCCTGTGTCAAACAACGAATGACCCTGGATGATGATTCCGGGGAGATGCTTCTGAAATCACTTCGGTTGACCCCTTTATCTGCTGGAAAGGAATAGCATCCCCGGTAAAATTTCGATTTAAAGCTTTCGTGACTGCAGGGATTCATCTTCTTGGTTCTTTCGGTAAAGTCACGTAGAATGGAAATAATAAAATAATAAAAATAAAACATAATACAATAATTTTATTATAATAATAAAATAATAAAAATAAAACGTAATAAAATTATTGTACAATGTTTTATTTTTATTATTTTATTATTTCCATTTTATTATAATAAAATAATAAAAATAAAACATAATAAAATTATTGTATTATGTTTAATTTTTATTATTTTATTATTTCCATTCTACGTGACTTTACCGAAAGAACCAAGAAGATGAATCCCCGGTAAAGTCACGTTGGTTAGAAAAATAAAATGAAACAAAAAATAAGTGTTTTCCGTATGTCATTGACGCCAATATTTTGAAGCCACCCTCCCCCCCCCCCCCCCCCCAGAGCTGGCATAAGAGACAATTGATAAACTAAATTGAAGATCTTCTTGGTTCTTTCGGTAAAGTCACGTAGAAGGGAAATAATAAAATAATAAAAATAAAACATAATAAAATACAATTCTCACGACGTTTCGGCCACAACGCAAGCAGCCGTCCTCAGGTGAAGAACAGGTCTGTCGGTAAGACAGCATTTGAATGAACACCACCAAGCTTGGCAGCGTATATTTAAGCTGGGTTAGGGGAGGAAGGGCGCCTTGACAAAGGAATTTGCATATCAACAGAGGAATTTAGCATATTTATTATTAATTCGAAATTTAAATTAAAGATGGT